GGAAAGCCAGAAACTTTTCTTCTTTGAATGCACTAGAATTCCTCACTGGAATGACTACTGATGACCAAAAACCCCACCAAAAAACAAAAACCCCAAAACTTTTGAGAGACACACATCTCCCTCAGCCTCAAGAATGAGATGAAGAAAAAACAGAGAACAGCAATGGATATCCTCTCTCTGCAGCAGTAAAAAGAGGACCAAGGAAGTAGTAGCCCCAGTTTAAGGCTTTTGCTTCTAAAATTCTACGTTTGGGACAATGGACATTTGTGAACAGCTCTTTTCTGTAATAATAAATGTCAATAAACCAAAAGTACATTCTCAGCTTACAGATACACACCTAAGCAGCATAATCAAGATTGCTACAGTACAGACGTTGACTCCGGATTTTGATGCAATAATTCAGAGCAAGAGGTGTCAGTTATCAAAGACTGTAAAATAAAGGAAATAATGTAAGAGTATTGCTATAGTAAACATTTTCGTATTTTGAGTGAAAAATAATATTGTTAATTCAGTTTGCCTCAGTCCATTATGAAGTTTGTATCTCTGGTGCCAGGCATTACATGTTATGGCTGACAAAGGGACATTTATGTCAGATCTGACCCTTGTAACAAATTAGCTCGAAACCTCTGTGCCAGAGGCTGTTTTCCTGCCTATAAACTGCACATGCCTCAAGAGAAGAAGAAGCCCCTTTTCCCTCAGTTCATTCTTCACCACCACAAGGGAAGGATTGTTCTCTCTCTCTCTCTCCAGAAGTTCTTAATATCAGTCTTGAACCTAAACTAGTTGCTACTCACATCTTCACCTACGCAATGAAGGTTAAGTGGTGCAAAAATTAAATCTCAGCACCATATTCTCCTTTGGATCCATACACTGCATCTAAAGCTGTACATAAGAACATAAGAGACGCCAGTGTTGGATCAGGTCAAAGGCCCATCTAGTCCAACACTGTGTCACACAGTGGCCAGAAATACCAGGTGCCCTCAGGAGGTCCACCAGTGGGGCCAGGACATTAGAAGGCCTCCCACTGTTGACCACCACCCCCAAGCACCAAGATGACAGAGCATCCCTTGCCCCAGACTCCCCATCTATACCTTGTGGCTAATAGCCACTGATGGACCTCTGTTCCAGATGCTTATCATATGGAGTTATGTAGTTGTTAATGACTACAAGGGAGAAGTTTCAAATATTAGGCAGTTTTCTTTGTTTTATTCTTTATATATTACACTGTTTCACATGCCCTATTCACTAATTTGTAATCTGGATTTGTTCCATTATTTGTTTTTAAGTACACTGTTCTCTAATTTTGTAGTCCAGTTTTATTGCATTTGTTGACTGTAGGTTTTATACTGCTTTTATTACATTATTTCCATAACCCACCTTGAGAAAGGTGGACTGAAAACAAAGCGTATTGAATGCGGTCGAGTGGCTTCCAACGTGTGCCGACCCTGCAAAATTTCCCAAAGTGTCCCTGTGTCATGAGCAGAGCCATTCTCAGGTCTTGCAAACTGAGTGTTTTACTGAGTCTTTTCCCCACTCATGTCGGGTCCTCCTCTTTGCCTGCTGCCTTCCACTTTTCCTAGCCTTGTTGTCTCTTCTTGTGACTCTTGTCTTCTCAAAGTAGGAAGGTAAGTAAGTAAATACATCCTGTGATTTTGGCAATTTGTATTTGTGTGGCGAAACGGGGACCTGCCCTCGGCCCTGGGAGACTGAGGTGCCGTCCTGTGGCTCGCGGGCCCGTTTTGGCCTTCCCACCCTTCCTGGTGGGACTATTTCTCTTTGCTAAATGCTGCCACCACTCACTGAATTGAGTTACCGCCTTCCTTGAGGGACAGTGAGACCCCTCTGGCTAAATTCCCCACCTTGGGAAGTGGGTACCTCGATCTTTGGGCGCCCCCTGGAGAGTTGGCAACCCCTCAGACAGGCCCATTTGTGTCTCCTGGCCTCCCTTTGCCTCTGGTAACGTGCAGAGCGGGGAGGACCCTGTGGTTAAGGCACACCAGGCTTTTTAAACTCAAAGCCCTTTTGCAGTTCCGCAGGGCCTGTAAGACGGAGCTCTTCCGCCAGGCTTTCGAGTAGGGGCCGCCACCGTCACTACCACCACCACCACTCCACTATAGAGCGACACCGCCGGAGGGCCAGGTAACATGGATCTAGGGCCCTGGCCCTCCCCCCTTCTGGTACGCGAGAGGTTGGGATATTTCTATTCTTGCATCCTGATTGAACTGAATTTTGACTGTTTTACCTATTTTATATACTGTATGCACTTTGTGCCTTGCTGTAAGCCGCCCTGAGCCCGCTCGCAGGGGGGGCGGGGTATAAATATAATGAAATAAATAAATAAAAAGGAAGATTTATTTAGCTATACACATATTGGGCACAGAAACTAAACACCGGCACTTCAACACAACCGGGGCACAGAAAATAAACAGGATAAAAACGCAATTCCTCGGTCCCTACCCAAACGCACCCCTCTCTCTACCCCTGTAGTGGCAGGGATTGGCTTTCCCCCCTCCTTGTTGTTGTGGAGAGAAACTCCCGTCCTCCCCCTCCTCAGGACTGGCCACCAGCACTGCCACCCTCCTGCCTCTCCATCACGGTCCACGGTGGCCTGGACTGCCCGCGGAGTCTCTGGTAACAGGAGCCCCACCTGCACTCTCACTTGAACCTGCCCTCCATGCTGAAGACTGGGTGTGTCCATCTTTTCCCGCTCTTTCCCCTCAAGGCTGCTGGGAAGTGTAGGCAGGGAGGTATGGCAGCTCCGTTGTTCCCTATGGAGTACCCCCCCACACACATAAGGAACTACCAGGCTGGCAATCATTTTAAGGCCTGGCAGCCATTTCGTCACAATTTGTATTTCAAAATCTGAACATGGGCAATGTTTGATGTATCCATGAGCCTGATTTTTTCAGTATTGAGAGTGGGGGGCCAGTGGGGTAGGAGCAGAATTGGATTTTCCCTCCCACACAAGACCTCTAGGTCCCCAGCTTTTTTAATATTAGGCAATATTTTAGTAGTGGAAAGCTTCTGAAAGTCATTTAGAGACTAAGCAAGGTAATATGGGGAGAAAATGTACTTGTAAAACAATACAGATATTAATGTGAACAAAATCAAAGCCGTTTTCAAGTACAATATAGTGAAATTTGGTTTGCTTTGTTAGTCTCATCAGTTAAAGTACTGAAGAACTGTATAAATGAATATTTTAATGCCATGTCTGTATTTCTTCATCAGACAAGGCAAAAATAAAGCTGGGAAAAGATACAGCCATCCCTACCCTTTTTGTAATATCTGAGGTATTATCTGTATCTCTTGCAGCTACCACTTTCTTATGCCATTAAGCAGAAAAAGGAAAATAGCCCAAAACTGTTCATTCCGTAACAGGGATGACCTGACACAACAGGAATTTTCTCTGCTAGACTATGAAAGCCGGATCCATTATCAAGCTCTCAGGCATGTGAAAGAAGTATTATACTGCTCTGCAGCTGAAGATAAGTTTGACAACAAAAGAAATATTACTAAATTCTACAAACTGACATAGCTCCTCAGCCTACAAAAGAAGAGAATTGTGCCTGAATGGCAAAGAGGACATGGAGGCTAAGTGGTAACCAAGCATGGAATTTAGGCCTGTAGAATATATTTACTGCTTTAAAAGTCTGGGTAGTTGAGTGTATCCTAACCTCCTCTTGGAAACTCAAGAAGGCCTGGAATACCTGATCAAGAGAATCAAAGAGAAAAGTGAGAAGTTTGGTCTCTTCCTAAACATCAAAAAGTTCATGACCACCGAGAAGAGGAGAAACATTGAAATAACAGTTGACAATGAAGAGATCGAATGTGTGGAAGAATTCACTTTCTTAGGATCACAGATCAACCAAAACGGCAAATGCAGTCCAGAAATAAAATGTCCAATCATGCTGGGTTGCACAGCAATTATGAGCATGAATCGAATATGGAAGAGCAACGACATCAGCCTAGCAACCAAATGCAGATTAGTCTGTGCTATTCTGTTCCCCATAGCAACCTATGCCTGCGAAAGCTGGACCATGAAGAAGCAAGACAGGAGGAAAATCAACTAATTTGAGCTGTGGTACTGGAAAAGGCTCCTGTGCATTCCTTGGACAGCAAAAGTGACAAACAAGCAAGTACTGGAGTGCATAAAACCAGACATGTCACTGGAAGGAAAAATCAGAAAATTGCAACAGATGTATTTTGGTCATGTCATGCAGAAGAACTCACTAGAAAAAGCAATTATGCTTGCATTGGTAAGCGACAAAAGGGAACCGGGCCACCAAAAAACACAGTGGCTAGGCACCAAAGAAGTCGACACCAGCCTGAGCATGGAACAACGCAAAGAAACAGTACAAGATCAGAAAATGTGGAGAGAGGCTGGCCCATGGAATCGCCAAGACTGAATGGTTAACAACAACAACAACAACAAACCAACTGGGAGAAGGGCAGAAAGCCATAATAATGGGGTCTGCACTGGCTATGTCTTAACAGATTTTGACAAATAACACAGATGTCATTGGGACAATATCCAGAATGCTGTGTGAATAATACAAACTAACAATGGTAGCAAACAGTATGAATTCTGTGAACTGTGGCCAGCGTGAGTGCAATCTTATGCACATTTACCTGGGTGTAAACTCAGTGAAGGATTAATCTCAACATCAGAGAGTTTCAATGGAAAGCAGAAAATGGTACCCAATACATGCTGCACTGTGAATACAGATTTTACTTACACAAGCTGGAGCCATGACACCTGCAGCCCAATCATAACCCTGTCTTCTTGGAAATAAGTCCTCTGGAGTTCAAGAGAAGAGACTTCCCAAACAATGTCTACAGCACTGCAGTTTCAGTTGTGTAATGATACTAATTGTGTGGAATTTATTGTCTGTTGATCAAGTGCATTAAACATTTCACATACTCTCAAGACTGGAGTTCACTGGCTGTAACATGAAATGATTCATATGTTTGTGTTTCTTCCAAAAAGAAATATTTCATACCTGTACTAGCCAGATACCATCCTTCGTATCTTCCACCAGTTCATAAAAATGCATTTCACCACTGAAGTTTGTGCTTGAAACAGATTCAGAAGCTTCCTCTTCCTTAAGAGCAGAATAAAGTTCACCCTCCATGAGGTCTCCTGTATAAGAATACAAAAAAATTAACTATACTATCCACAAAGTCACATTAGTTAAAAGGAAGCTGGTACAAAAACTGCTGGGGTTGAGGCAATGACTCTTAATGACATGAGCAAAACTACAGATATAACTTTACAAAAATTCTAGAGCCAAAATTCTTGGTTTAACAGAATAATTAAGGTGTGGAAATCATGTTAGGACACTCAGTCACTGACTGTAAGCAGTAAATACGTTCCACAAGTTCACATGTTATGCTCAGTTACAGCTTAGCTACCATATGCACACACCTCTCCATTTGTCTTTCAGACACAATTCTCTTCCTCTGTAGGTTGGGGACAACACTAAGTGGTATCTCAACCTTTAGAATTTAGTGATTTCTATTTAAGATACATCTAGTGATTTCCATTTAAAATACATTATAGTCCAAAGGTTTTTCAACATGAAATAAGGATTTAAATTATGCAGTATGAAACTGTATATTTATACAAAAATGAAAAAAATGTAAATGAATTCCATTCATTCAGGCCCCAATGTCATGCTCTCCCAGAGATTTATGTATTATTTGGGGTAATTTTTATATCTAGAAGGTACCATCAGAGATGGTTGGTTTTGCAGTTCTCAAAATTATGAATTTGTGTCCACAAAGCTAACATACCACTTTTTAACAGTAAAAATGTTTTTAAACATATAGAGTTGACAAAGAAACCTCAATCCTATTGTCCCTTCGCAAATCTATGTAAGCAGAATCAATCCCTGGCCTCTTAAGTGCTACGTTTCATGGAGTTCAATGAACAGAAGACTCTTTGGGGTGAAATAGATCTGGATAAGGAGGAAATGTTAATCACTAAGTGTGGGGATGCAAATGAAAGTGAAACTTTAAGCCGGGGGTGTCAAACTAGTTTGTTATGGAGGGCCAGATTTGACATAAATTGGACTTTGTTGGGCCGGACCATGTGTATCATCAAATGTAATGCCAGGTAGCAGAGATATAAACTTTATAAAAGACACAAACACAATGATTTTTTTAACTTAAAATAAAAACATACTTGAAACATTAGCATTCTTGCAATATTTTGTTTATTTAACAGTCTCTGATAACTGACACTTCTAGCTCTGAATTATTGCATCAAAATGTCTGTGCTGTTGCAATCTGGGAGGGGGAGGAGCCTCAGCCCAGTGCAGGGAGCAGAAGCCTGCCTATCTATCTCTCCTGAGCGATTGAGAGAGTCTGGGAAAGCAAGATATGCTAGAACAGCTCCAAAGAACACATGTTAAATTTGCCTAACTTGAGTGATATTTCCAATGTAAATCCCGATATCCTGTATTATAGTCATATTTAAAATGCACTCTGAGATTCTTGATTTATCCTTTTGGACATCTCTCCCTATATTGTGGTTAGGCAGAAAACCTATAATCAAAATGGTTTTGTTACCTAAAACCTTTAAAAAAATCTCAAACTATTCCTCTTTATATGAACATGATACTTTAAAGAAGTGGCAACCAACTACTTTAAATTTTATACAGCAAGGAAAATCATCCAAAACATACCATAGCCTACAGAGCAACATAATCCTTCTATCTTGTTCCCAAGTAAGGTTAAATCCGATTCTTAAGCTTAAGTATGTTCTACTATAACAAGGTGTTATGAGAAAATTGTATACTGATAATCAGCCCACTGAGTGAGTTATAATGAACATTTGCTAGGGTGGTTATTGCGGTGTGCATTGCAAAATCCTCCCCCCCCAAACACACGAAAAGCACAGGCTTCGGTCATTAGGATGATTTTACACACACACACACACACACACACAATCCTTGTTTTGCTGTTGTTTTAGTTCAGGCGCTTACCAGAAATGCAGCACGCACTGGTGTTTTTCTCTGATTCTACAGATTTCCCAGTCAACAGCATTTGTCCCTTCTAATCAAATTCACGTGATGGAGAAGCACATAGTGTTCCCAGCCAATCAGAGCTGCAGTTCTCACTATGTCCTTCCTTTGTGGGGGTGGATCCCTTTTTTCTATGCAAGTATGATGGCCGGGGGCATCTTGTTCAGAAGCCCACAAAATTGGACCCCTTGATCTAATTCACTTGAAACTTGAAGTTCAGCCCAAGCTCCCCTAGAATTTTGGTGCCATTTGGTTGAAAAACAGCCACTCCAGCCAACCCCCCCCCCCCAAAAAAAAGCTCCCTACAGGCAATAACAGCAGGGCTCTGGGACAGGACGAGGAGGTTTTGTACAAAGAGAGCCTTCCTCACTTTGTGAAACAACAGACCACAATAAGGAAGAATGGCAGACACAGCACTGTCAGCAGAAAACATGTGAATTTTCCCTTAAAGTCAATTCCAACTAGTTAAGAATGCAGCCGTTTGGCTACTAGTGGGTTCTAGGCAGACCAGGCAGGTCATACCAGTGCTGCAAAGTCTGATGGGTTTTGGGTTCAATTTGCTGGTGGTTATAACTTACAAAACCCCTCACGGCCTAGGACCAAGACATCTACCGGGCCACCTCTCCTGCCCTGCTCCACCACAAGTTTGCTCATCTGAGCACAGTTTTTAAAGGTTCCTCCCTGCAAATGGGCAAGATCAGCCACTGCCTGTTCGTGCACGCTCTGTGTGGTGGCTCCCACCTTGTAGGACAGCCTGCCCGAGGTCAGGAGGGACCACGCAGTTACATAATTACAGAAACAGCAGAACAGAGATGTTCAGGAGGGCATTCTTATAATAGAATCAGAACTGTATGAAGCTGGAACAGTTCAGAAGAAGACCTTTATATGTGAAGTAGCCGCAAAGCTCGTTGCAAAGTCAATGCAACGAGCTCTAGCAAGGCCCCCGGGCCAGGGCTGACGCCATGAAGCCTGCGGAAGTAGGCGTTCGCCTCCTCGGTGGCCAGCGTCTCCCTCAAGATGACGGCAGCCTCCCGGTGGCTGGGCGGCTGGGCACTCATAGGCATGCGGCCGCTCGCCAGGCACGGCATGAGAAGGCCCCAATCGGCGGAGGATTCCCTGCGGCCTCCGCCAGCGCCTCCCTGCCTAGAAATGTGAAGGCCCGGAAAAATTTGGGGGGGGGGAAATGAAAAAAGAAAAGAAAAAAAATTGATTATGGAACGTTTTATTTTAGCAAGTCCTAGATTACAAACTGAAGTCTCCAATGCAAGAACAAGATGCATTTCTTCCTTTAGGAGGTGCTATTGTCACAAGAAAAGAAAAAGGTTTCAGTTTTGTTTTTGCATGTGGGTGGGTATTCTGTTTGTAATAATTGTTTGGATACACTATATTTTTAATAGGCTAGTTGTGATAATTTCATGCCAAGTAAAAATGTCCATAGTCATATTTTATGTTCCTAAAGTAACAGAATGACTTTCAATCTAGAAAAGACAAAAGAAATGCTAATGTAGCATTTTTTTCAATTTTTCCAAAAATTTCTGTTTTTTTCCGGAAAAAACTGGGGGGGAAACGGGTTTTTTTCCGAGCTTCAAAATTTCCGGAAATTTTACATCTCTATCCCTGCCTGCCTTCCCTCCTGGGAGGTGTTGGCGCTGCTGCCGCCACGCTGGTCTCAGCTCAGTGGCTCCAGACAGAAAGCGCAGCAGGCAGCAGGAGCTGGGCGCAGCGTGCAAGGCTTGCCGGCAGTGGGGAGGAGAGGGCAGCCAGGGGACATGGCTCCGGCTTGTCGCCTCCCGTCCTGCTCAGAGGTGAACCCGGGAGCAGAGCAGCAGGTAAGTGGAGCCCTGCGAGGAGGAGCTCGCCTGCGTTGTGCCCCGAAGGCGAATGGAGTGCAGGGAGTTGTGGGGCTGTGGAGCAAAGTTTTGTGGGCCCACCGGTAGGCGGCCCCCGAATCTCCCTCCGGGTTGGCCGGCTGCTGCATCAGAGGCCCCGGCCTTCCTCTCTCCACCACCCCTACCCTGCTGGCCTTACCGTGTGGCTGCCAGCTGGCTGCTGTGTTTCCCAGCTCTGTGAGTGGGCTGGAGCGCACCGGGCCCCATGCGGGCACAGGCTGGGCGGCGAGGTGGTGGGCCTCAGAGGCGTTCAGCCACTGCCGGTGGCTCCCCGGAGACTGAGGGCGAGATGCCGGCTGGCAGGTCTGTGGGTGGGATGGAGGCGACGGAGGGAGGCAACGCGGCCAGGGGATTGGCCCCCCTCCCGAATGACAGATCAGGCACCCAAAGCCTGGGGAGGCCTGTGGAAGAGTCTCACACAAAAACTGTTTTATATATGAGGAGAGATACATCTGTATTCTGTCACAATTATTATTGTTGTTATCTATTATTGTAAGTATCATCTGACTTTTACTGTATAGTCTTATCTTCATAATCCCTTATTCTGCAAGCATTGGCCAGAGTATACCTTGCTTAAAAAAATAAAATAAACATTCAGTCAACAGTGGGAGGGCTTCTAGTGTCCTGGCCCCACTGGTGGACCTCCTGATGGCACTGGTATATTCTGGCCACTGTGTGACACAGAGGGTGCGTTCAGACGGGGGATTTACAACGGTTAGGGTGCCGGTTCCAACCGGTGTACTTACGGGCTTTCACACGGTGTACATCTGCCTCCCATCCCTAACCGTTGTAAATCCTTTTACACCGTTGTACTCTGCCACTAGGTCCGAAGTGGTGGTAAACAGAGTACAACGGTGGCTTCCGATACAAACCGGCGTCTGATCGCTCTCCACCGGTGCCTAGCCACTTCCGTCGGAAGCCTGAGGCTTCCGGCTTTCCCCCGCCATTTTTTTTTTAAAAACTAAGCGATATGCGCTCAGGCCCTTACTTTACCGTCCCGGAGGAGTCCGGGACTACAGGGAGGCCAGGTTGGGGTTTAAACTTTAAAGGTAAGTGCTTACCTTTAAAGTTTAAATGTAAGGGGGGGGTTGAGCATGCGCAAAAATCGCCATTCTCCGAATGGCTGCCTGTGCGCATGCTCAAACTGCTTTAAAAAAAAAACGCAGACGCCCGCAGCGTGTGAGTGGGTGTCCAATGGAGGCATTTGCAAGATGGAGGGTGAGTCTGATTGCGTTTCTGCTGGCAGAAAGGCCGCGTCTGAACGCACCCAGAGTGTTGGACTGGATGGGCCACTGGCCTGATCCAACACTGGTGTCTCTTATGTTCTTATATTCTTATGTTATTAATTTTCCACCAAAACTACAGAGCAATATAATCAAATATCAATATAAGAAACTTATATACAGTATACCTTGCTTTAAGTCGTTCTCATTGTGTTTGCACCCTCTTCCTAGTTTTGTTTTCCTAGTCCTAGTGCAGTGTTGATCAGACACCTTATGTTTGTATGATTCCATTTCCTCTCTGTTTCTCTGCTCTGCGTCTCAGTGAGGAAAGCAGGCTATAGAGAAGCTGAAGAAGTGTGCCTGAGATTGGGGTGGGGACAGTGTGCCGCACAGACTTCCTTTCCAGGGTCCACCCAAGGACACCCCCGGAGTGTCTCCCGTGTTTTTTTTGAGTCTGTGTGCTTCTTGCTACTGACCAGAGGTGGGAGTTTGGGAAGGCAGAGCCCCAGGAGCCAAGGCCCCGCTCAGGCTTGCCCTCTGGCTGGGCCTGTGGCTGTTAGGAGGGTGCCTCAGAGGGGTTGGTGGCCGGCCAACCAAACACCAAGACGACCTACCCCTGGCCGCCCTTTGAGAGCCCCCCACTCGGAGTTCCGCACTTGGGAACCGAAGGAGGGGGGAGCGGGGGGGGGGTCCTTATTTTTCTTCGAGAGGCCCGGCCCGGCCCGGCGCCCCGGGGGAGGCCCCCCACGGAATGTCCCTGGACCCCCTTGGGCTGCCCCCCCGCCCCCCCCCGGGCCTTGCTCAGGACACCCTGAGACCCGAGAGGCCCTCCCTCCGCGGACGCAGGCGCGGGGCCCTCCTCTCCCCATTCTCTCACGGAGGCTGCTGAGGGGAAGGGGCTCACCCACCGGACTGGCGCACCAGCTGCCGGGCATCGTCCTTCTGGGCGGCGAGGAGGAGGAGGGCGGCGCCCCCTCCCGCTCCCGCTCCCCCCCCGGCTCCGGCTCCCCCGGCTCCCCCGGCGTGGGCGAGGCCGCGTCCCTCGAGGATGGTGCGGAGGGTGCGGAGGCTGAGGGCGACGGGGTCCACCAGCTGGCTGGCGAGGAAGCCCGTCTCGTACCACACCGCCGCCTCGAAGACGCGCGCCAGCACGAACAGCACCACGAAGTACAGCAGCAGGAAGGCCAGGCGCAGCCACATCCTGCCTGCCTGCCTGCCTGCCCTCCTCCCGCGGCCCGGGCCCAGGCAGGCAGGCCAGGCGGGCGGGCGGGCAGGCCCGGAGGCGGCGGCGGGCGGCTACTCCTCCTCCTCCTTCTGCTCCCGGTGCTGCCGCCGCGAGCCAGGCGGGATCATGCGGCCCGGCCCGGGCCGACCCTCGCCGCCACTGGCCCGCCGCGCCGGGCCGGAGCCCCCGCAGCAGCCCCAGGCCGAGACATAACAAGTGACGACGGCGACGTCAGCGGGCGGGCGGGCGGAGGGAGGGAGGGAGGGAGGGAGGCCCTGCTGGGGGTGGGGGGGGACGCCTTCCTGCTGCCGCCGCCCCCCTTCTGCCTCAGAGCTTCCCTGGGCCGCCCACGCGGTTGTTGGGCTGCTGCAGCACACGCAGCTCTCCACGCAAAACAGTTCCAGGCGTCACAACACCTCACTTGGACATGTGCTGTTGACATATGGGCCGCCACCATCACCATCATTATTATCATCATCATCATCATCACTATTATTATTATTATTATTATTAATAATAATAATAATAATAAACCCACGGAAGATCCGCCAAAATACTACAGGGCACTGGTACCGCCAGACTATGGACCAACCCCCTTTAATAGCAGCCTGATAACCCGCAATAACACAACATCTCACTTGAACATGTGCCGCTGACATAGGGGCCACCACCACCATCATCATCATCAAACCCACGGAAGATCTGCCAAAATAATACCCCCTTTAATAAAGGTCAAGGTCTCCCTTGCTCGAAAGCCAGTCGAATCCAACTCTAGGGTTGCGGGGCTCATCTCCGTTTCAAAGCCGAAGAGCCAGCGCTGTGATATTCCCCTGCAAAACATGGAGGCCACCCTGTTCTTATCGAGCACTTTAATCTTTGAGAGGAGACAATTAATTACTCTCAGCATTCCACAATTAAGAAGAGTACATCTACACATCAGTCTCCAATTTTGATATATTTGCTTCACGGTCCACCCCCCCCCCCCCCCCCGCCTCCTTCCCGCCCCCCCCCCCCCCCCCGATTTAATTCCAAACAAATGGTGACCGTAAACAAAGCTTGTTATTTCTGTTTGTTCTTTGCATCTGTTAAACATCTTCATTATGCTGTTTGCTCATTTGCTGCTCACCCTCCAGATGTATTAAAAGTTCTTACAAATGCAACATACTTCCCGGCGTTCTAAAACAAGAATTCAGTGGTGTCTTGAAGACTCAAAAAGCTTGAAGGTGTCAGTGGACCTATGCTTTACTTGGGCTATACTAAAAAAGATGGCAAGAATGTCCACTGGAAACAATGGGAAGTCTTGGAAAGCTCACTACTTATAATGGAAGCCATGAATGCCAGTTCGCTTGAATGGATTCCACTGAGACGTTGAAATACTGCAAAGATGCAAAAAACAAACAAGGACTGGATTACTAAAACCACCGGAATTGGTCAAGCATGGGCCCTGCAGTGAGAATGAGGTGGCAATCCTCTTTCGTGGGAGAGTCTCATTGAATAAAATGCAACTTCTGAGTACAGTGTCCTTGAGAGTGGAATGATACTCTCTGGGAGTAGAATGACAATCCCCAAAGTGGCATGATGGTCGCTGTGTGGGTAGAATGAATGCCCCCTAGGACTGGAAAGCAAGCCCCCAGAGTGGAATGCTGGCCCTTGGGAATGGCTGGAATGACAGTTGGCCCCAGGAGTGGAATGGCACCCCCTGGGATTCAAATGACTGCAATCTAAACCTAGATTTCTTTTAAATGGTAACGGTACTGGAGTATTTTAAACAAGATTCATATTCAGTCTTGTATTTAGGTGGCACCATATTGCTCTGCTCATTGGACTCCTTTGGAAAGGATTATATTTGGGGAAATGCCATCTCTTTTAGTATTTGTAAGCAGTAGACTTCTGTATAAATTGTAGTTCTGCTCAGACTCACTTATAATGAAAAAGGAAGTCATTTATTTCATTTACCTGTTTCCAGCAATTATACCAAGAAGCAATTTTTGTGATATTCTATACTCACCAGTTCTTGAATTTAGGGTGTTCTTTATAAAATGTTGTGAAATACAATGACCCTGAGATATGCTGACAATGCACTGGCATAACCCTAGCATCAGCATAGAAGTAGGTGGCATCAGGCATGTTATAGGAAGAACAAGATTTGCTCAGCTTCTTCATCCCTGGGCGCACACACACACACCGCCACAACTCAGCTCCCAACACCGGCACAACATTCTGCTGCTGAAAACTCCGGCACATTTTTAGAACTAGTTATACACTCGGCCCACATGGCCTACAACTGCAGTGACCAGTATGCTTCAAGCTGCTCCGCTGGAGTGATGGCCAGCTCTCTTCTTCTAGCCTGGCTTTTGCACTACTACAAGTTGCAAAGTAGCCTGATGTATCACCAGCACAGTTGTCCCTCTCATGGGCACGCAGTGATAGGGAGAGCTCTACCTGTGGCCCTATGTTCTGTCAGTGCAGCCTCTGGAGAGCCTTGCTACCCAAGGCACTTGGCAACACCCAGTCCAAGAGTACTTATACTACTCCCAAAGCACTCATTCTAACCCCAGGGGCTCTATGGGCTCTCATTCCACTTTGTGGCTTGTCATTTCAATCCTAGCGCACACATTCTGTTACCAGGGACGGTGTTTCCATGCTGGGACCTGTCATCCCTGAATTTGAGGACTGAGCCAGTCTGGTTAGGAGTAAGGCCCTATTCTAGTTGCAGGATCCGTGTTTAACCAGGACGTTTCTTGTTTCATTGGCACTTTTTCAGTACTGCAGTGTATTTCAACAAAACCCATTCAAGTCAATTGTCATTATATCCTGGGGGCCTTCAGAGAAGAGGAGATTGGATTCATACCCCATGGCCCTTCACTACCCGCAAAGGAGTCTCAGAGCGGCTGACAAACTCCTCTCCCTTCCCCCTCCCCACAACAGACAAACACCCTGTGAGGTGGGTGGGGCCGAGAGAGCTCTGACAGAAACGGCTCTTTTTCAAGGACAGCTCTTATCAGAACTGTGGCTTGCCCGAGGTCATCCAGCCAGGTGCAGGTGGAGGAGGAGTGGGGGAATCGAACCCGGTTCTCCCAGACTAGAATCCTCTGCGCAGTTAAACCACGACGCCAGACTGGCTCCCAGAGAGTCCCCACCGTTCCCGCAAGTCCCATTTGAACCTGCTGCTTGCAGATTAAAGACTGTGAGGACGGCAACCCCATGAATCTGCCCAGGTTTCTGCCGGCATATGTAACAACAAAGCCACAAAGGGAGGAGGAGGAGGAGCACGACCCCCGTTCCTGCGGGTGGCTGCCTCCGCGCCACGACCCAACCCTCGAGGGGGCGCTGGCGGACCGACGAAACCCGACGCGGAACGGACACAACCGCCACCTCCTTCGTCGTCACCCCGGCGACGGGGCGGAGCGTTCTCTCGGCGCAGGCGCGCGCGCGCCGGACCCCGGCGGAGGACCCCGGGCTGCCCACCGCGCTGCCTGCGTCGCGGCTCCGACGCTGGGCCGGAAAGGACCCTGCCTGCCTGCCTTCCCGCCTGCCTGTCGGTCTGCCCGGGGACACCACCAGTCAGAGGCCCGCGGGCCGGGCGGGCGGAGGAGCGTCGTCGTCGTCGGCCATGGACCAGTGCGTGACGGTGGAGCGGGAGCTGGAGAAGGTGCTGCAGAAGTTCTCGGGCTACGGGCAGCTGTGCGAGCGGAGCCTGGAGGAGCTGATCCAGTACGTGGCCGGCCTGCGCCGCGAGATCCTCCAGAGCGAGAGTACGTTGTTGTGGTGACCCCGGGGGCGGGGGGCTCCCCTCCCCGCTCCAAGATCTCTCTCTTGCTCAGTCTCTGCCAGTTCAGACCCCATCAATGTGTATTTATATTTAGGATTTTTGGCTCCAATGTGCATCACCTTGCACTTGGCCACATTGAACCCCATTTGCCATGTTGACGCCCACTTGCCCATCTTTGACAGATCCCTTTGGAGTGCCTCACAATCCTCACTGGTTTTCACCACCTTGAACAACTTTGTATCATCCGCAAATTTAGCCACTTCACTGCTTACTCCCATCTCCAAATCATTAATGAACAAGTTAAAAAGCAGTGGACCAAGTACTGATCCCTGCGGTACCCCACTGCTTACCACCCTCCACTGAGAAAATTGCCCATTTATACTCACTCTCTGTTTTCTATTAATTAGCCAGTTTTTGATCCATAAAAGGACTTGTCCTTTTATCCCATGATTTTTGAGCTTACTTATGAGCCTTTGATGAGGAACTTTATCAAAAGCTTTCTGGAAGTCAAGGTAAACAATATCTATTGGATCCCCCTTGTCCACATGTTTGTTCACCCCCTCAAAGAACACTAATAGGTTAGTGAGACAAGATCTTCCCTTACAGAACCCATGTTGAGTCTGCCTCAATAGGTTTTGTTCATCTATGTGCCTACTAATTCTTTCCTTAATAATGGTTTCCACCAATTTACCTGGTCTCGACGTCACACTGACTGGCCTGTAATTTCCCGGATCTCCTCTGGAACCCTTTTTAAAGATGGGAGTGACATTAGCTACCTTCCAGTCCTCAGGAATGGAGGCAGATTTTAAGGAAAGATTACATATTTTTGTCAGGAGATTTGAGTCCAGGCCTGGTGATTTCAGTTTTTAAGTTGTCTATCAATCATAGGACCTCCTCTCTCGTCACCTCAATCTGACTCAGGTCTTTCAACACCCCTCCCGAAATCAGTGGTTCTGGAGTGGGCAAGCACTTCTCATCTTCCACAGTGAAGACAGAAGCAAAAAATGCATTCAGCTTTTCAGCCATTTCCCTATCACCCTTCAGTACTCCTTTTACTCCTTGGTCATCCAAGAGCCCCACTGCCTCCCTGGCTGGTTTCCTGCTTCTAATGTATTTGAAGAAAGTTTTATTGTTGGTCTTTATGTTTTTTGCTATATGCTCCTCATATTCCCTTTTATCAACCTCACTGAGGCTAGCTTTCCACCACATTAAAGGAATCCTTCTTACCTTTTACAGGTTCTATTACTTTGTTTGTTAACCATGCAGGCTTTTTTCTATACCCAGGGCTATTTTTGGGCTGGAACACACCGGAACAGCGTTCCGGCTGGCGTCCGCGCCTGCTCCGCCCCTCCCTGTCCAGGCGGAGGAAAGGCCGCAGAAGGGGTGCCTTTTCCAAGGGAGCCCAGCGCGGCTGCCCCACGTTGGGCCAATGACGTGGGCCCGGGAATAGGCCCCGCTGCTGGAGGACGCCTGTCGCCCCGCCCCCTCCCTCCAGTGGTGCAATCCCAAGTGGCGCAATCACGTTTACATCTCTCACCAGGTCTTGGGCGTTACTTAGGACCAAATCCAGGATCACCTCTCCCCTGGTAGTTTCTATGACCATCTGCTCCATAGCACAGTCATTGAGAGTGTCTAGAAACTCAATCTCTTTTTCCCCGACTTGAACACATATTGACCCAATCAATGTGTGGTATTAGAAGGTTTAAGAACATCAACCTAATCTGGGAGAACCACGTTTGATAGATAGTTTTGTTCAAAGTAAGGCGGTAGGAACATAGGGCTTAATGCCAAGCTATGTATATTCTCCTACAAAGAAAGCAGAAGCTTAACTCTGAATGGTCACTTTTATCATGGAGAACAAGCCTGATTTTTCTCCATGATAAAAGTGACCATTCAGAGTTAAGCTTCTGCTTTCTTTGTAGGAGAATATACATAGCTTGGCATTAAGCCCTATGTTCCTACCGCCTTACTTTGAACAAAACTATTTATCCCGACAGCCTCAGCTGTTCTCTACTCCAAGCTGGAGGCAAATATCCCTATAGGTTGGGTCCCCAACGTGGTGCCCGTGGGTGCGTTGGCACCCAGCAACACTTTTCTTGACAACCACCAAGTGCTCTAACATAGGTCTTGTTTCCGCTCTTTTCAGGATACCCTTTCTGCTGTTTTCGGAATGTGAGGGCACTTTCTCCAAAGCAAGAATCTTTTAAATCTAAAATGCAGCTTTGAGTGCAGGAGTCGCAAGTTTCTGTTGCCATAGAAAAGCTTCATGATGTTGGGCTGAGATAGCATGTTTCTTTTGGTAATTTTCAAGGGAAGCTGTTGCCAAAACCTAGAGTTCATGTAAATGCCATGGGGGCGGAGTTGAAATCAGTGAATGTCTCTAGAAATATAACATTTCTGGAAATCTGGAAAACATTGGAAGGAAAGCTGAGTCGTCGTCCCCCCTTTTGGGGAGGGGAACAAATTTGGGGGAAATGAAATGCATGCGATATTGTCCTTCTTTTCAAACGTAAACTTATTGTACTGCTTTACTGTACTCGGTTTTTTTTGGCTAAGATCACATGTATGTATGTATGTATAAGTTTGGATTTAAAATTGTACTACTTGTAATATTTATAGAAATGCCTTTGTTTCCTACAAACAAAATTGTGAGTGTACCCAATCCTTGGAAGAGAGAATAAGAGCTGCTGTACCTTGTGCTATCTTAGCATATGTAGTTTGTTTTGGTCATCTGAGAGATGAAAAAATGAAAGTTGAAAGCACATGTTTTGTTTTTCTGTGGAAAGCCTGTTTCTGTAGGTAGCACTTTCTTTTCTGAAGTTATAATAGACATAGCAGCATATTTGAATTCCATTAAATGTTAACATTGAAAATGTGGAAGTTTTCAATAGTATATTACCATCATAAGCATTATAGCATATTAATTGTGAGAAAAACTAGCAACATTTAAGCAATGAACATAACTTTTAAAATATGTTGTATACACATAGGGGCTTGGCTGGTTGCCTGTGAGTCCCCGTGCAGAAAAAAAGCCCCTTGAGTGAGTCCGTTTTGAATTTGTGTGTGTGTGTGTGGGGGGGGAGCCGGCATGCCCACATGGAGCCTTGAACTGGCTTGGCTGGTTGCCTGTGAGACCCCCTGCAGGAAAAAAGCCCCTTGAGTTCGTTTTGAGGGATTTTTTTAAGGGGGGGCGGGGGGAAGGAGCTGGCTTTCACATGGAGGTTTCTGCCTACCTGGTTGGTTGGTGGTGAGTCCAGGGGAGAGAAACACCCCTTGAGTTTGCTTTGAGTGTAATTTTGAGATCTTTTGAAAACTAATTTGGTGCCACGAAGCTAGCCTCCTTCCTTCCCCATCTATTTACTTTCTTTCTGGTTCTGCTGTGTGAGTTGGTGGATGCAGACCACTGGCATTGGCTTGCATCTGCCTGCTTCATGTAGGATGCACAACAGCCAGGTGGAGGAGGGGAGGGGTGTCATTCTACCAACAGTAAGAGTGTTTCGGTCTCTCTGTGAGTTTGAGGACAGGAACTAGCGCTGAAGTGAGATTGGAAAAGAGTGTGTAGCTTTCTGAAAACCCTTGAAGAGGGAATAAGTTTGTTCTTGGAAGGGGCAGAGCAATATGGATCCCCTTTTCCATTTCTAACAGATTGCCCATTGGAAACAACTAGAAAGCCCATCGGAAATAATGGGGAGCCTAGGAATGCCCATTGACTGGAATTGGCTCCATTGAAATACATTACAGTACAAGTAGAGTTGCACTAAAAATGTGGAATGGATTTTCCATTAGGGTCTCTGGGCACGAATACACTACTCTGGATATGGAATGAGAGACCACAGAGTGGAATGACAGCCCCTAGGAGTAACAGAAGTGTTCTGGGACTGGAATTGAGAGCCCACTGAGTGGAATGACAGCCCAAGAGTGTAGCTGGAGTGTTCAGGGACTGGAATGAGAGACCAAGGAGTGGAATGACAGCCCCAAGGTGATGCAGGAGTGTTCTGGGACTGGGATGACATGCCCAAGAGTGGAATGACAGCCCTTGGGTGGAGCAGGAGTGTTCAGGGCCTGGGATGAGAGACCACGGAGTGGAATGACAGCCCTTGGGTGGAGCAGGAGTGTTCAGGGCCTGGGATGAGAGACCACGGAGTGGAATGACAGCCCTTGGGTGGAGCAGGAGTGTTCAGGGCCTGGGATGAGAGACCACGGAGTGGAATGACAGCCCTTGGGTGGAGCAGGAGTGTTCAGGGCCTGGGATGAGAGACCACGGAGTGGAATGACAGCCCTTGGGTGGAGCAGGAGTGTTCAGGGCCTGGGATGAGAGACCACGGAGTGGAATGACAGCCCTTGGGTGGAGCAGGAGTGTTCAGGGCCTGGGATGAGAGACCACGGAGTGGAATGACAGCCCTTGGGTGGAGCAGGAGTGTTCAGGGCCTGGGATGAGAGACCACGGAGTGGAATGACAGCCCTTGGGTGGAGCAGGAGTGTTCAGGGCCTGGGATGAGAGACCACGGAGTGGAATGACAGCCCCAGGGTGGAGCAGGAGTGTTCTGGAACTGTCTGTATTCAGCACACTGTGTCAGAATTACTAAGGTGCCGCAGGCTGAAAAAGGTTGGAGACCCTAGAGCTTGACTCCAGGTTGGGCTATTTCACAGAGACTATGGAGGGGGTTCTCTGGGTCAGTGGTCAACAGAGTAGGCAATAGTATGCAAAGAACTCAGGCAGAGTGTGACACGGAAAGAGAACATGGAGGTAAGGAAGGTCGCAGAACTGGACACTGGAACTGATAGACAGACACGGGCAAGATGTATAATTGACAATGGAGGAGAAGGCTCACATCAACCTCATGAATTTGTAAGGAAACAAAGGAGCTGAGATGGAGCTGATCTGGTGATAGCTACACACATTCCAGAAATATTTAAATGTAAAGTATTTCACTCCACAGTTTGCAAACCCAGTTGCACAGAACTGCCTCTACACCCAGGGTCTCTCCTTCCACCCTGGGGCCTGTCATTCCAGGCCCATAAGACTCCTGCTACTTCCATGGAGTGTCAATCCATCTTCAAGGCTGTCATTCCTTTCCCAGAATACTCCCAGGGGCTGTCATTCCACTTAGTGGCCTCCCATTCCAGTTCCAGAACACTCCTGCCATATCTAGGGTGTGTCATTCAACTCTGGGGGTTGTCATTCCAGTCCCAGAATGTTCCCGCTACTTGCAGGGACTATCACTCCACTTAGTGGTCTCCCATTCCAGTTCCAGAACCCTCCTGCCATATCTAGGGTGTGTCATTCAACTCTGGGGGTTGTCATTCCAGTCCCAGAATGTTCCCGCTACTTGCAGGGACTATCACTCCACTTAGTGGTCTCCCATTCCAGTTCCAGAACACTCCTGCTACCCCCCAGGGCTGTCATTCCACCCTTGGTCTCTCATGCCAGTTCCAGAACACTTCTGCTACACCCAGGGGCTGTCATTCCACCCTGGGTCTCTCATCCCAGTTCCAAAACACTCCTGCTACCCCCCAGGGCTGTCATTCCACTCTTGGACCTGTTATTCCAGTCCCTAAACATTCCTG